TATAGATTTATGATGTATATAAGAAAGCTTTATATACAAGAGCAATTGAATATTGAGAAAGCATCCCAGCCTGATACCCCTCTTTAAAATCCTCTTCAGACTCACACAACACATGCAATGATGCCGAATGCAGGAAGATCACAGGCCAGTGGGTGGGAAGTCCTGTGGATCCAGTGGCGCTGTAAACATCTCAGTGCTGGTAGGGGTCTCCACATGGCTCCTCCAGCTCAGGGCACTAGTGTAGCTCCATGTGTCCTGTCAGCTGCAATGTCTTCCAGGGAGTGAGCAGAGAGAGAGAGTGTCTCCCACTCTGTTCCCAGAATCCTCAGGAGAAGGCCATGCCCACACAAAGCCCTCATTGGCTATGACCTGATTGAGAGACTAGACTCCACCCTTTCAATCTTAATCCTCAAATTGACACCAGATGATGTAACTACCATATCCGCCTAGTGCTTAACCAACAGGGCCACCAGGATTCCATCTCCACCCATTCCGACTCCAGAGCTAAACTCCTCACATGGGTTCCACATTGCACTGCCAACCACAAGGTCAGCAGTTTGAACCACCAGCCACTACAAGTGAGAAAAATGAGGCTGTCTGCTCCCATAAAGATGGACAGCCTTGGGAATTCAGAGGGGGCGGTCTCGTCTGTCCTTTTGGTCACCAAGGGACAGATGTTGGGAGCCAATTTCTCTTACTGGCTGCACGTCCCTTTATTTCCTTGATGTATGAACTGTGGTTGACATTGAGCTCATTTTACAAAGGGCTCACAGCAATGTCACTGAGCTGCCATCTCAAGAAGAAGCCATGGTGGCCCTATGGGGTTAAGCATTGGCCTGCTAACCAGAAGGTTGCCCATTCGAACCCACCAGCTGCCCCTTGGAAGAAAGATGAGGCTGACAATGTTTGCTTTGGTTTGTTTGGGTGGGGGGTGGGGGATAGAACTGCAAGAGTGTCTACTACTTCTTCCTGTTGGCCAATGTCTGTGGAGCTTCTAAAGGCAGCTTGAGTCTTCTGTTAGGGTTGTTGTTTGCTTTTTAAAGAGAACATGTCAAATCTTGAAAGACTCAGAGAAGACAGAAAGAGGGACACAGCCTCGGAGGAGGGAGGCACGGACACGAGGTTAGAATGGCGCCCCTTTAGGGTTTCTTACGTCATAGAGATGCCCATACGTGCCAGAAAGAGAGAGGGATGGAGTCTTGGTAGTGCAGCGGGTAAGTGCTCGGCTGCAGACAGCTTGATGATTTGAACTCACCAGTTCCACTCCTGGCTCTGCAGAAGAAAAGACCGATCCTGACTCAGAGTGGCCCTACAGGACAGGGGAGAACTGCCCCGTGGGTTTCCAAGACTATAACTCTTTACGGGAATTAGAAAGCCTCCTCTTTCTCCGGTGGAATGGCAGGTGGTTTGGAACAGCTGACCTTGCAGTTAGCAGCCCATCATGTAACCACTCCGCCACCAGGACTCCCTGCAGGAGAAAAGACCTGATCTGCTCCCGCAAAGGCTTCTGGGAGCACGCCCTCCTTCTCACTCCCATAAAGGTGAAGGGCTACGGAGCAGCCGAACTCTGTCCAGTAAGGCCACTGTGAGTTGGAATCCCGTTGACTGCGACAGCTCAGAGTTGGGTCTGTGTCCTCCTTCCTCATCCCCTGGTCACCACTAAGCTCCTGGTATCTAAAAGGTAGAGGATTTTAAAGACGATTGCATTTATTGCTGGGGAAGATGGTGTGTGCTTGTCCAATCCCATCACACCGGCCTGATGAACAATAGAAGGGAGCACTCCGGGGCCTGCTCCATCCTGACAATTGTTAGACGTGAGCCCACGGTTGCAACCACTGTGTCCATCCACTGTGTCCATCCAACTCGCCGAGGGTCTTCCACTCCCTCACTGACCAGCCACGATGTCCTTTCCCGGGCCCCTCCTGAAGTACCCATGTCCTGGATGCTCAACTCCCTCTGGCTGTGCTTGCTAAACAGATTTGTTTGTTCTTCTGGCAGAACAAACCAAACCCACCCCGGTGAGCTGATTCCAACTACTCATGACCCACGAGGGCAGAGTAGAACCACCCCTTCCAGTTTCCCAAGCTGTAATCATCGACACCAGTCTTTACAGGAGCGGAATGCCTTGTCTTTCTTCCAGGCAACGGCTGATGAACTTGACTAGCCAGTCCGTCGTTAGCAGCCCAGTGCTGAACCCACGACCCCACCAGGGCCCCCTGTTCTCCCGCCAGTCTGCGGTCCATTCAGTCTTCCTCGCCCACTCCTCAGTCCAGAGGCATCGATTCTTCTCCGGTCAGCCTCACTCTTGATCCAGCTCTCCCACGCAAATGACTGATGGAAAAGACCATGGCTTGGGGCAGGTGCACTGGGTCCTCCAAGTGGCAGTGTGTCCCTGTACCGCCACCACCTGCCCTGGGACCGCCCAGATGACGTCGGTTACCCTGCAGGTGTTTTCATCTGACGGATGGGTCCCCGCTAAGGGGTGGACATCGAGCACTGGGCTAACTGGAGTCCTCAGCCAAGA